ATAATAACAAACACAAAGTAAATGGAGTCTTACAATTATTACAAAAACCTTGACAATCGGAGCTAATAATGGTGATCGCTCGTTAAAAATTACGTCAATTAAGAAAACAATTATTTGATATGTCAAGCTCGTTAAAAATTACAGTAAATAAATACGACAGTGAAAAGAATGAAAAATGAGATTAATCTTTCTAAATTTTCTTGTTTTATCGTTTTTCTTATATAATATTCACCTCACAACAGGCGTTTATATTCAAAGAATATTTTTTGATTAATTCCGAATACACGCCTTTTTGATAGCTATCATCATAGTCATGATTTATCGATTCATTTTTACTAGTTGTAAGTGAACGTTTTGGATTATGTAAAGTGTAGATTCATGCAGGGCGGATCCAGGATTCTACCGACGGGATGCCGATTTCTAAAAGCTGTCGTCCGAGGTAGTATAAATGTTTTTTCTAAGGAAGTCTGGCAGTGTACTCGGATTAGAATTCCATTTGTGAGGGGGGGTGGTTGCTCGATCCGCCACTGGATTCATGATGTATATGTAAGTGAACTTGCAATAAAAACTTTTGGTTACTATCAGATTTCAATATGAAACATACCATTTGTAAGAATTTGTCTAGTTCTATCTGGAACACTTATTCTCAGATTTGAAATAGCTGTAGAAACAAAAATTAGGTCAAAAAAAAAAATTAGGGCAAATATTAGGCCGAAATACTAAATTTTCCATTTTATGTTTATTAGAAAAATCCATAAATTAGCTCTAAAATATTTTTGGCCTATCAGAATTTAACACGGTTGCACAGAGCTCGTAGAATTTTATCACCCAGAATTGGCACAGCTGTACAACGAATATAAATTCAAAGTACTCGGATCTGCTGCTAACTTCACATAAGTCACATTAATGTGACTTAGGTGACAAAATTTTGCTGAGGTGCTGAGGACGTGCTTAACATTTTGGAACCTTTGGTCCGTTGGAGATTTTGTATATCTGCACATAGAGATTATAATCTGACGGTACCTGCTCATGAAAGTGTTTGGCTAAAAAATGATGAGGATGCTCACAAAAGGTCTGTTCTGCTGGAAAATGGGATCCTCATAGGTCTAGAAGGCCAACGTGCGTTGTTCCAAAATTTTTTAAACGTGATATTCGTCATCAGGAGCCCGAATTGTTCTAGTTCTGTTACTCTCGAACTGTTCGGATAAAGTCAATGTAAATGTGGTACGTTTTCGAAACAACAACCCATTTAGCCTAGTTCTACAAATATTATCACTCTTTCACAACAACACTTAAATGAATTCGCATAGAGAAAATAGACAAATATATAAAATTCCTTTACCAGCCATGTGTTTTCCTTTGCGTAGAACTTATATTAAATTAGCCATCAGTCACATACTCAATGAGTACAACAATAGATTCAAAACCATCACACAGCATATCCACTTCACAAACAACAACGGATTCTGTGCAAACTTCAATTTATCGGACAAACTTTATTGAGCAACAAAACTTAGAAAACTTTCAGATCGTTTGGCTTGATGTTAATATCAATAAAACAGATGATAATTCCCAAACAATATCTCGATTACGTGCTACTATTAATTATCTAAATATATTCGATAATGTTTGTGACTGTTATGACTACATAGCCGGTGTTCAAAATGAAAAATTATTTTTAATTGTATCAAGTTCAATTAGTCAAGATATAGTACCATATACTCATCAAATGCCACAAATTCAATTTATTTATATATACTGTTTTGACATCGAAAAACATGAACAATGGGCAATGAATTATGACATAGTGCGTGGTATATATACTAATACTAGCGGAGGTACCCGATGTAGAGTGAGTTGCCTTGAACTTCTCCATCTTTAACAGGACCTTCCCCGCCGTGCATAAATTGAGATGCTTAGTCACACCTACTATATGATGTGAGAATTTAGTTTATAGCGTGTAAATCTGCTTTGGTTCTTTCTACCTATCANTGTTTTGACATCGAAAAACATGAACAATGGGCAATGAATTATGACATAGTGCGTGGTATAAAGCGAAAGTTGTTTATTTAATATGGATGCCGATTTGGAAGAAGCTCTCAAATTAGCTAAAGACAAAAGACGTAAAATGCTAGATCATGACTTACAAAGTCGTCGAATGCAACGTAGTAGTGATGATATACTCGTAAACAATGATGCGGCTGAGTCATCGTTATCTTTTCTACCACATGTCACCAACAATGTTCCATACGGAGTTTCTTTATTAGAATCTACATTACTGTTAGTACCGATATATGAACAAAATTCTGATACTGATTCGGAATATGAATTATTAAAAGTT